GAAATATAAAACCAAGAAAAACTCTGCACACATAAAATAGGAGAAAGGAATAAAAATGTTCATAGGAAGGCTCTTCATAAGAGCAGAAACCATGATAGAAACAACCCAGATGTCCAGTGACAGGAGAATGAAGAACTGTGGTATAGTCACATAGTGGAATACTACACAGCCCTCAAAATGCATGAACTGCAGCAATATGAATCTTAGTAATATTAAGTAAAAATAATAAGCAGCCAAAAACTACATACAGCAGTATTCCTCTATAATAAGGTTAAAAAAAACTAAAAAAAAAAAATGGAAATACATAAAGCTAAGATAAATTTATAAAAAGGAAAAGAGAATGGTGGATACCTCAGGAGGAGGATGCATTTCAGCTATTGCCAAGGTCCTAGCTTTCATGTGATAAGTTCTATGACAGTACTATAATTAAATAAATGTGTCCTGTGCACAGGGCAATGAAAAGAGTGTGCCATGAAACAAGGGTATGATTAATCTAATTCTGTGCACCTGACATCCATTAACGGCAAGGGAGAGAAATTATGCCTACTTTCTCCAGGTAGCCTTATTTGTTTGGGGGAGAGGGGGAAAAGTTTCTTCCTTCCCAACCCTCTCTGGGACTTTTCTCTAGGTTCTCCTCCTGGAGAGGTGAGCTGGTGGCACAGAGGTGGGGCAGCAGGGAGAGGAGTAATCCAGGGTTTAGCTACTTCAGGAAAAGCGTCCTGGAATTGGTGGAGTAGGAACCTGGAGGTGGGTCAGCTTCCATTACCATTCAGCTCCCCCCATTCCCTAGGCTAAGAACTACAGGGTGTGTAGTCTGTCGTTCATTTCCTGCTCTTCATTGAAGACCTCCGGATGGAGTGGAAAGAAGCCTAAGAGGTACGTCCTGAGAGAATGGGACTGTGGCCACATGGTAGAGTGTTGTAAGCATTCTGGGTACTGGAGAGCTGGGTCCAGTGGAGGTCAAAACCACCATCTTCAAACTTCAGTTTGGGGACTTCCCTGGTGACGCAATGGTTAAGAATCTGCCTGCGAATGCAGGGGACACGGGTTCGAGCCCTGGTTCAGGAAGATCCCACATGCCGCGGAGCAACTAAGCCCGTGTGCTACAACTACTGAGCCTGCGCTTTAGAGCCCACGAGCCACAACTACTGAAGCAGGTGCGCCGAGAGCCCATGCTCCGCAACAAGAGAAGCCACCGCAATGAGAAGCCCGCGCACCACAACCAAGAGTAGCCCCCGCTCGCCACAACTAGAGAAAGCCCGCACACAGCAACGAAGACCCAACGCAGCCAAAAATAAATTAATTAAAAAAAAATTCCGTTTGGAACTACGGGGCCGCTGACTCACACCTTTTTACACATTCCCTCTTTTCAGCCTGGCCCAGGACACACCTGGGCCATCCTAAGCACCCCCTGCCCCTCATCTCCCAGTCTTCCCTGCCCTTTCCTTCTTCATCCTAACTGTAGCTCCTAATCCTGTACTCTCACCTCTACTTCTACCAATCCCCAAAATGAGACCCTACTTTGTGAAAAAAGGGATTGGGGGGAAGCTCTGAGAGGGCAGCTTCAAACTTTCCACCTTAGGGGAAGGGGCTTAAGGTCAGACTGAACTGGGCTGGGCTTGCTGCGCTGGCCTCTTACCTTTAGGAAAGGGGTTAGAGGTTAGGTTGGACTGGGCTACTGGTATAAAAGGGGCTGGAGATTGTGCTGGACTAGACTAGCAGTCCTAAGAAAGGGGCTAGAAACCAGGCTGGATTGGACTGGGTTAGGAAACATGGGGAAGGAGCTGGGTTCAGGATGAGCTAGGGGCCTGGGGGTCAAGGCCTGGACCTCTGCAGTGGGGCCCGGCTGGCATACACAGTTGGGCTGAAACAAGTTTTTCAGCATCATGCTGGGCCTGGGACTGGGCCCTCCCCTGCACCCAGAAACAGAGGACATGAGGGCTTTGAAGGGTTTACTTCCCCCACCCCAGCAATTCCTCCTGAACAAGGGCCTTCCCCAGAGGGGCCACTGGGGCAAACAGGGAGGAGCCAGAGCTGGGGCTTCAGAGGAAGTCACTGGCCACCAGGTTTCCTGAGTTCAAAAAGTGGGTTCCCCTGTCTCTCTGGCCCATTCATTTCCCCCAGGGCAGAGTCCAGGCCTAGCAGGGCAGAGTCCAGGCTTAGCAATCTACCTCTCCCCTGGACCCCCACCTCCCTTTCAGAAACATACACACACACACAATGTGAACCTGCAAATGCTGAAACCCAGTCACATGCCCGCCCTGGCAGCCCCATAACCCAACACAATCGTACTGCCAAGCCATGCATTCAACAACACATCCTCATTTATGTACTTTTCACTGCCAACTCACACCCAGTGGTCATGCCTCCTCTGCCTTGTTCAGCACCGCATCCCTAGCACATGGAATTGGGGCTGGCACCTGGAGAGGGCTCAATGAATATTAGCTGAATGAATGAATCCACCAAGACATACATCATAAACAAATGCATATACAAGCCCACATGCCTATTAATACATGTATATGTCCCTTATATACACATATCCAAGCCCTCTCTGAGGTCAGAAGTTACTACATACACAAGCTCACACTCAGGCAAAAAGGTCAGATGTACACCTAGCGCCAGACACAAACACACTGCAGATAGGTGTTACCTAGGACTTCCAGGACGAATTAGTGGTCACAGCTGGCTGGTAAATGTCCTTCAGTCAGATCAGGCCTGCAGAGGGGTGGGATATGTGTGTGTGTACAAATGCAGGCCTTGGAGTTCTGAGGTCCTGGAGCAACGAGGAGCTGGGCTGGCAGCAGGGCAGGGCCGAGGTAACTGCATGGACTGGAAAGGGTGTGGGGTGGGCCATGCAGTCCTTTCCTCTGGTTTCTTCCTGCCAGCTTGGGAGGTGGGGGCAGAGGTGCAGGTCTATGAGGCCTTACTTGAGATCCAGAGACCTTAGTGAGGGAACAGTCTGAGGCCTCAGATTCCCCTGTCTGGGATGAAAATGAGGGAGACTTGGAATTGCCTGACGCTTTTACTGCCGTGGCCCGGGTTCAATCCCTGGTCAGGGAACTAAGATCCTGAAAGATGCGCGGCACAACCAAAAAAAAAGAAAAAGAAAAAAAAAATGAGGGAGACTGGGTAGGGGTTTTTGCAGGTGCTAACACCCCTCCCCAACCCACTGCAGTATCTCCCTATCTTGCCAATCTTCTATAATAGTGGGGAAGGAGGGGAATCAGGGAGAATACCTGGAAAGGAGTCTGAAAAGTGCCCTATTCCTCCTACCATCTCTCTGTGGAGCTTCAGGCTGTCCCCTAGCAATAGTGCTTAAGCATCCTCCTCTCTCTGTGCCTCAGCCCAAAGTCAGCAAGGAGACAACCCCACTACTCTCCCGCTTCCCCACCCAGGGACCTAACACCAGAGGAGACTAGTTCATATCTCAGCTGGGCTGGTAAGCTAGAGGCCAGGTAGGGGTAGGAATCTGACAAAAACAGGACTGAGTCTCCCAAGAATTCTAACCACCCAAAGCTCCTCCAATCCAAGTCCCCTCCTAGGCAAGAACCCCTTCCTCCACCCCTCCCCCAACAGCTTAATCCAGGTCTATCTATCCCAGAAACCCAGCCTGCAGAGGACCACCACCTGTCTGGCAGCCCCATGACAGTTAGGGGTGAGGAACAATAGTCCTGGGAGGGGCTGGGAAGTCAACTTTTGAGGAATACAGGGCAGCCTGGGACACATCAAGAACACCACCAGAAGAGTGAGGGGAAATGTGAGATGGGAGTGAGGGGGAATTCACAAGCCCAATTCATGCCTCTTCCCCAATGACTGGTGTTAGGGACTGCAGGAAGGAGGGGAAAAAGACTGCCTTGGACTGAGTCATTATAGGCATCAATGACCAACCAAGACACTCTCAAACCAAAAAGTCTCTTTATTGATCGGTACCATACATGACTCAAATGGCCCAAAAAAAAAAAAAAAAAAAAAAAAAAAAAGGCATTACAGCGGGCGGGGTGGGACATCCACCTTCCCTACCCCTTCCCTCAGCTCCTGACACAATATCCTTCCAAAAGTGGCAGCTGGAGTAGAGGAAACAGGATGTGGGGGACCCCAGAATCCAGAAGGAAGAGTGGGGAGAGAGGTGGTGCTAACACTTCTGGAACTGGCCACAGGAGAAGGCAGCGAAGCCACAGAGCTGCGTCCAGACTCATGGGACCCTGCTCTCGGCCTCACCCTGGGCCTGGAGCCTCCACATGTCCAATTGTGAAACAGAGCTGAGGATCCTGGCTGCCTCCCCTGTCCTTCTATGAAGAAGGGGAGAGAGGAGATACTGAGAGATGAAGAGCCTTTACTTCAGCTGGAGGACAAAAGCCTATTGCTCCCTGGTGGGCTCAGAGCTGGGACACCCTCAGTGGCTTCTACCCCTCCTTGAAGGGCAGGGGAGGACTAGATATGCAGTCTGAGAAGTTGGGGAAAGAGAGTACTGGAGAGTGGATGAACCCCTCCTCCACCCATGCCTGCCCAACTGAGACAAAACAAAAAACACAGTGACAAACAAGGCTGCTCCCTTCCCTCCACACTCCCTAAGGCAGGGAGCCGCCCCCTCACCCCATCCAAGACAGCTGCTCTAGTGGAGGACTTGTAAAGAATATACACACCGTGGAGGGAGGGGGTTGGGGGCTGGGATAGAAGGAGTCACAAGCACTAGTAGGGCAGGCCAGAGTCCTAGAGGATGGGGAGACAGAGACAACAGCAGGGGGCTGTCACAAAAGTGAGGCCATCAATGGCGCCCTACCCCCATGGCATGCCTTCCCCAACTCCAGTCACCCCAGAGGAAAAGAGAAGAGAGATGGCAAAGTGTCTCCTTGGTCTGAAGCTCTCCAAACTGTGTAAAATGGTGATGCATACCCCACTACCTCCACATAGGCCCTAAGCTCTCCATCTGCCAGGCATAGGGAGGTAGCTGGACCTTTAATAAGGGGAAATAGGGGACATGAGTGATTTTTTTTTTAAACTTACATTTTTAATAATATTATTTTTTAAAAAACTTGGAGCTGGGATAGGTGGCAGAAGGGAGGAGCCCAAAGCTTTACCCCTCTACTACCAGCCACCTAAGGGGAGGGTTTGGAGGAGGGGCATTCAATCAAGCCCCATAACTTTTAAGTCCCTAAGGGCTGTGGGCATAGACAACCCCAGGCTTGAAGAGGGTGGAGTCAGGAGGATGAGGGAACCCAGAACCTGGGGTGAGGATGGAGGCAAATGCCCTGGGAGGTGGTCAGGGCATTTCTCAGAGGCCCAGGGTCCACATAGGCATCCACATGAGTACCCCCTTCCCCAAAAGGCTCTGCAGAGGCCAGCCCCAGCCCAGGGCCACTGGGGGGGCAAATCTTGGCACCTGCCCCCAGTGAGTCCAGTTCCTCCCTGAAGCGGGTGGATGAGGCTGCCCATTTTAGATGCTCAGTCTCTTCATTCTGTCTTCTGCTCCCTGGGGCTTCGAGGGGTGGGGCAGACAGGCAGAGCGCTGGGTGGCGGTGGCCATGGCAAAGCCTTTACTGGGAGGCCTGTGACGTGGGGTTCTCCGATTTGCTCTCTTGGCTGGACGGAGGCTTGCTGTTCCAGGGGCTGTTGGCGCCCAGGGCAGGGGAGTTGTTAAAGCTGTCCTCGTCGTCAATGCCGTTGGCCGCGTCAAACTGGGTGTTCTCCAGACGGGTGATGAGCCTCTCGTCCTCGTCCCCGAACTCCCCGCCCATCAGGGTGGGCTCCCCCACCACCATCACATCCTGAGAGTGGCGGAGGTCCCCAAACATAATCGGGGCAGGGGCTCGCCCAGCCCAGGGCAGCAGATACCCCCAGAGCCCCAACACCCACCCGGGAAACTCAACCCCACAACCCCCAACTTATACCCCAATTTAAAACCCCAACTCCTCTGATACCCTCCGCCCCTGGAATACTTCCCACTGAATGACTGCAAAGCATCACAGCCTTTAACCTATATCCACTGGATTCTGGGAGAAGTCAGTCTACTCCTCTAGCTCCCTAGTCCATCTCTCCAAAATTTTAGGGGGCTCCTGAACTTCTGTCCAATGTAAGAGAGAAGGAGCAGATCCAAAACACCGTTGGGGAAATGTATGTGCATGTATGTATTCTAGATTTGCACACATTCAAGTCTGTGTGTCCCTCTGTCAGCGTGTGTGTCTCTCTGGTGGTCTGTGTGCCCCTAAGCTGTCTGTCCTTTATGTCCATACATTCCCATGGCTGTCTCCGTCCCTTGATGTCGTACGTTGCTACGTCTGAGTCTGTGTGATCACAATCATGCACGTGACTGACAAGGACTGTCATCAGGGACAAGAGTCAGCCCACGACGGCAAAGTACACTGGGAAAAACTGTCTTTGTTTCTACATCTGCTAGTGAGCTCAGGATGGGACAGGGTCCAGGATCAGGGGCCAGCAGTGGGGCAGCCCAGAAGAGAGAAGAAAGCCGAGATGCTTACAGGTACCTGGCTGGAGAGGGCGAAGGTGCTGGCTGGGCTTTTCTTCTTGCTGTTGCTGTTGTTGGTGTTGCCGCCCCCCGAGCTCATGGTGCTGCCCCCTGACATCTTCCTTTTCCGCCGCTTGCTGGGCTGCTGCCGTGCAGGCTCCGCTGTGCCAGGGAAAGGAGACTCAGGTGGGGTAGCGCCCTGGGACCCTCATTCCCCATTCTGGCTCCTAAGGAGCCTGAGCCTACCCTGATCCCAATCTTGCAGACCCAGGAAAGAGGAAAGGGCTTTGTGAGGAGACAGCGATATAGCCTTGGGAAAGCAGCATCAGATACTGGTAAGAGCAGGTACAGGTGCAAGGCACTCACCAGGGGGTGCTACCATGCGCTGCCACTTCTGGAAGAGGCAGGTCTTGAGACAGTCACGGGGGCTGAGGCTGTAGGTCTTGTGGCGGGACATGAGCTCCTGCATGGGCTCGAGTATCACACAGAGCTGGGGGGAGACCAGTTAGTGGCTTGTCAGGGGACAGACGTGGAGTGGAGACCAAATGGGATGGGGCAGAAATTGGGTGACCAGAGACTCACTCGGAGGTAGTTGAGAGTGGAATTGGACAGCCCACACCGGGTGATGTTTTTGGAAAGCTGATCCAACATCTGGGGGTCCTGGGCCTAGAGGAGGAGAAAGGTAAGAATACTAGCACCTGGGTTGCATCTGCTCACCTGCCCTATCATCTTAGCCTCGTGACACCCAAGAGAAGAGGGGCTACTATATAAAAACCCATTTTTCAGATGGATAAACTTCAACCCTCTGTCTAGGGCCACTGGCGGGTAATGGCAGACCTCGTTCCACCCTTCCTGCTGCCTGCCCTCAGCCTTGTGGCTTAGGTTCTGTGCACAACTCACATGCATGGCAAGGATGCTGCGGGGGATGAGCTCTCGGTGCTGCCGGATGCTGAAGTGCCACGTTTTTATCCGCATCATGTCATCAAACATGAACTCCAGGTACAACCGGCCCTCCACACAAACCTGGAAACAAGCTTGTCACAAGTCTGCTCACTTCCCCACATACGCAAAAGTATACCAGTTCCCCTGTTTCCTCATGATTCTCCCACTACATACACTCCTGCCACCTGAACAGAAATCTGGGTGCATAACTGACATGGACCGTCTCCTCATATACCTGCCACACCGGCACACACACACACACAGACACACACACACAGACACACACACACACACAGTAGAAACGCTTAACAGATTCTTGTCCTCTCCTCTTGTAGCTAGTAAAACACTCGTCAGCCATAAGCTCCATGAGGACAGGCTCTTGTTCACTGGTGTCTCCCTGCGGCCCAGAAAACTGTCATGTACAAATTCAATACATGTCTGCTGAATACTGCAGCATGCCTGCCATCCCTGTGCATCCTGCCACTTCCCATTATGTCTCCCTGGGGAAAAGCCAAGTACATTTTTGGGAGCCAGAAGGGGAATCAAACCCAGGTACTTCAGTGCTCCACATCCAGCTGGGTGCTAACCTGGGTGAACATAGGTTTGCCATGCTGGGTCACCATGCTGCCCTGGTCACAGTCAAGGGAAACAAAGTTGCTGTGGAATGCCTCCTTGGGGTGCTTAAGTACATAGTAGAGCTCCGTAGCACCCCCCTCAAAGATGCTGCGGAAGTAGCGTGGGATCAGGGTCCGGCCAATGGCTGCAGAGATGGGACAAACTCTTCAGAACAGAAGGATCTCAAAAGTGGTCAGGCAGATACCACCCCTGCCAAGACAGATCCCCTGGGACAAATACCCACGCCCAGATCTTAGAAGGACACAGGAGATGTACGCTCTTACAGCAGCACTGGCAGGACCCCTAGAGGTCACTCACTATATCTCTTTGGTCCATCCTCCAGGCAGAAAGTGATGGTTAACATGGCATCATCCTCAAAGAACTCAGTCGTGAAAGCATCCCACCAGAGATTGTCACACTCCTAAGAAGCACAGGGAGGGGTGTGTGTGTCAGAAGACATGCCACAGGGGTGCCCAGATGGCCCTCTCCCTCCAAGCTCCTTTCCCCTGGCTATACCTCTGTCCAGTTTTGAAGCCGTTTGTTAAGCTCGAATATCCTGTAGTCAGTTTGGTTGCCATATGGTGTGTGCCTCCTGGGGGAAGTGAAGAAGGGAGATCAGTAGGAGCAGAGCCTCCCCCTCACCACCCCCGCCTTCACCCCTGTAATGGAAAGCACCAACCTCCCCACTGGGCTCCACTTACCCAATCCCAGGCTCCAGGTAGGTAGGCGGGTACATGGGAGTTGGGCTGTGTAAGGGAAGAGGCTATGAGAATGGGGGTGGAAGACAGGAATTATTGGGGGGTGTCACTCCCTCCCCTTTTCAGGCAGGATGCCATCTGGGGAAGGAACAGGAAGTGGACAAGAAACTCACCCCACATCCCGATCTAGCATGGTGCCGGGATGGAAGGGGGGGAAGGCGTTGCCGTTCGGAGGCTCCTTGGGTGAGTACAGCTTGAATGACTTTGAGGAACAACCTAGAAGGGAAAGAAAGAAGGGGTCTCCTGAGTCCCTCTTGGCAGTGCTCCTAGAAGTCTGCTAGACTGTATGCACAGGGACTGGTCTTCTGGAGCCCCCGAGGGCACTAGGGGAGGGAGACTACCCTACGGAGCACCTATCCCAGTTTTTATTAAGAAACTAGAAATTCTCAGCCCTAATACCCAAGACCCCATTTCTTCATGTGGCTGAGCCCTGGATGACAGAATTGAACCTGGGAAGAAATGTCAATACCACAGGATAAATAAATATCTAAATATCAGAATCTAAAATTTTGAGAAACTCCCTTTTCATCTACATTATTTTGTTTAATCATCATCACAAGCCTGTGAGGGAGCAGGGCCGAGTGTAACATTCCCATTCTATAAATGAAGCAACTAAAAGTTCAAAGGGACTTACCAAGACTGTACAGCTACTAACTGGCAGAGTGAGAACTCAAGTCCTAGGGCTCAAGCTTAGTCTTCCGATTCCCATATCCTATAGTATTTACCCCTCTATTGCCCTCTGGAGACCAGGTTGGGGGAGGGTAAAGGGGGATTTTGCCAACTCCCTGCTCCTTCTCCACCCCCAGGGTCTCAGGAGGGCAGGGGATAGAAAGATAAAGGGGGGGGGGAGTGCCTGCTGGGTGCCGCCCACCAGATAACCAGTTGGGCCTTCTGCCTCTCCCACAAACGGCCACTCCCTTATCAGCCCAGCCCCCCCCCACACACCCACCATGGGTCTAGTATTGTCTCCAAACCAGAAACCCAAAGCCTCAACCCCTTTTCTCTCCTTAGACTTGCAGTGAGGGAGGGAGGTAGACGGGCCTCCAATGGGTCCCACTCTAGTTACATATAGAAAATAAGAAGCCCCAGGGAAGGAGCCTAGGTTTCAGGGGCTCAGTCTAGGAGGCAAGTGGTAACTAGACAGGGTCTCTGCTTGTGTGTATCTGTGCATGTGCTCATGTGTCCCCTCTCCACCTCACTCAGAAGCATACACAGTTCTACTCCTGCTCTACTATTACCTGACTGGAAGAAGTGTTACTTTCATAGCTAGGTAAGAGCCAGGTACCCTCACAATGCCACTTATCCCCTCCCCACCAGACAGGAGGAGATCGTGAAGCAGAGTCCTAGTCACAGCTGCTTCCTCATGTCCCCCAAACTTGATTGCATTTGGAAGGGTAGCTGTATCGCTGTATCTGAGCCCCATCTCCAATTTAGATACAAAATCTATTTTGTTCCTTGGGAGGAAGAGACAAAGGAAGACCCTGTACCAACATGTATCATTTAATTCTCTCCCCTGGGTCCCCTCCTCACAATATGGGCCAAAGGAGGGTCCCAGAGAGGCCTACCCTCCACCGTCCCCAAAGACTCAGTGCCAAGACTCAGAGCCTGTGTGTACCTGCACACGCGTGTGCCTCATCCTGCCTAGCAGGCTTGCACCCGCAGCTCGCCCCAACATGTCTACCAAGGGCTGGAACCCAGCAGCCCCAGGCAGGATCAGGGTGCCTGCAACAGGCCCTTGCCCCACGCATGAGCTCTCACAGGCCACATCCAAATGCTCCCAGCACGACATACACAGCCTTCACATGCCAGTCAGGACTGAATGAGGAGCATGTGTCCTCAGGAAAGAGGCAGTCCCACCCAACCCCAAGTCTCCCCACTCCACAGACAGGTGGACAAGGCCATGTAGGAAGTCAAAGCTCACATTAGCAACCAGAAGCCAGGCCTGGGCAATGCACCCAGTAGTCTAGATTATTAGACCTGGCCCTCATCCCCTACCTAGGCCCTCCTTTCCCCAAAAGCATTACTGCCCCTGCCCCTCAGTTTCAGGACCACTTGAAATGTATCAGCTCAAGACCCTAAAGAGAAGGGAGGCAAAACACCAGGGTTCCTCTCTAACTCTGAAAAAAGTTTCAGAGCTTCAATTTCTCACTTGAGAAATGACAGGCATTGCCTGGGGCTAGGTAACAGTACTGAGGAGCTAAAGCCCAACGCTTTGGGGCCTCTATTTACACGACCAGTGAAGGGACACAAATAAACTCAGCATCTCTCCAGAGCCATAGCAACTCCCAGTAGCCCCAGCACAAGGGCTGGGGAGTGAGAAGAGAAGGGGAGGGAACATCACCCAGACCATCTGTCCCTGCTGCTGCCTGTCCCCAGCAGCAGGGGTAGAGGGAGCAACGTGGGGGTGGGGGTGAGGGGATGGATGTGTCATCCAGTCTTGGAGTCAGGCAGAGTCCCGTCTCCCACCTCTAGCAACCTAGGAGCCCTTAGGAAGGGGGAGGAGAGAGGAAGAGCCCAGAACTAGTAAAGTTTTCTCAGAATGGAAGCTGCATCCTGTGGCCTAGGGGGGCACCTCCAGCTGGGTATTTCCATGGTAACCAGCCTGACCCGAGGGCAGGCCCCCTCCCTTTGGGGGCTGACAAGAGGTCGTCAGCAGGCCTGAGAGCCCTCTCCTCTATGAGCTGGGTCACCTCTCTCACAGCCAGCATACCAGGCCCGGGCCTGATGGAGGACCTTCCACCCACCCCCAACAGGCTTGCAGGGTGCCCAGACTTACTTACCTGGGAGAACTGAGGGGGCCAGGAGAGGTGCGGGGAGCGGCTGCGAGCCCAGAGGGGCCCTGGCAGGGGTGAGGCCTGAGGGGGGGCCAACTTCAGCCGCTCATGTCCCGAGTGGGACAGGCAGGCCTGGCTGGGAGTTCCACTCCGCGGGCTGCACAAAGACTCGCACGCACGGCCTCGGCCCGCCCCACGGCGGCCACAGCCCCGGGAGAAAGTTACAATGGCCACTGGGCTGGGGACCCGGGGCCAGGGGGCCGGCCTGGGGGGCGGGGGGCCGCGGGGAGTCCGGAGCCTTCTTTGTTTGCAAGGTTTCCCTCAACAATGGCTGCTCCGCTCTTTCCTCCTCCTCCTCCTCCTCCTCCTCTGCTCTCCCCGCCGCCGCCTCTGCCTCTGCCTCCAAGCAGCCCGCCCGCCCTCCCCAGGCCAGCAGGCCCCTCCGCCGGGGCACCAGCAGAGGCAGGGCCCGGCACTCACACTCACTCACACTCGCTCACGCACAGACACACACAGCGCCCCGCCGGCTCCCTTCCTTTTCTCCCTTTCTCTCCCTCCCTCCCCGCTGGCTCTCTCAGAGCCTCTCTCAGAATGAGGCCCCAGGGCGGGCGGAGGGTGGAGCTGCCCCCACCGGCCCCGCCCCCTCCCTGCGAGGAAAGAGGAAGAGGGAGAGAGGGGAGGGAGACAGCTCGAGAGAGGGAGGCAGGCAGGGAGGACTGCTGAGAAAAACAAAAGAGAGACAGAGACTGGGAGAGACAGGGGACAGGCCGGAGAGAGGGAGACAGAGAGACTGGGTCTGGAGAGACCGGGATGGAGGGGAGGGCTGTGGGAGCCAGGAACTGGAATGCCGCTCCCAAGCCCCAAGCGGGGTGCTCAGGGGTGAGCTGGGGAGCCTTAGCCACAGGCAGGGATGGAGGAGGGCACTCGTCCTCTCTGGAGACTCCCAGTATCTTCTAACGGTCTCCCAAACATCCCCCAAATCTCTCTTCCTCTCCCTAGTGATCTCTCGGGTTGAAGGCTGGCCTGAGCAGCCACCCTTGGCTGGTGAAATCCCAGAGCAGCTGGGGGGAAGGCTCCAGGGGGTTATTTTTGACAGAGACACACTCAGACTTCAGCCTGTAAACACTGATTGGAAGGAGGGGGACACTCCAGGTTCCCTGCCCCCAACCCAGCTTAGTTCCAAATGCTGACTACCTTTGCAGGAAGCCCCCTTTCCCCCACCCACCCATCATCACCACCACCACCACCACCACCACCACCACCGGAGGCACGTGGGTGCAAGGGAAAGGGGCTCTGTTAGAGCTCAGGAAGGCAAACTTGCCCATCTGAGGGTCCCCAGAAGGGGTCTAGTCTGCTGCTGAATCCTCCCCCAAACCCTAGGAAAAAATGGTATATGGTTACCAGGGTAGGAACCTGTTCTCCAATGCAAGGGGGGAAGCCCAAGAGAGGGGGCTTTTCTAAAACTTGGATAGTGGTCCAGGCCCTACTACCTGGACAGAAACACACACACACACACACACACACACACACACACACTCTCTCTCTCTCTCTCTCTCACATGGGAAGTGGGGGGCAGTAAGGACTTCCTTCTGCTTTGCAATTTGAGTCTCAGCTTTGTATTCCCGCCCCCCCCAACCAGATTCACACACAGCCCCACAACAGGATGGCATACACACCAGCTGACTGTGCAATAATAATACTATTGCATCTGGCTCTGTGAACATCCTACACACACAATTAACACAGCTCACTCTCACACAAATCCGTACCTGATACACACTGCAACCTGTGATATACCTCAAACCTCAAATAAACCCAAACCCAGGACACACACACATACACAGTGGGACCTGTGACGCACATGCCCCAAGACACACCCCAAAACTGCATTATACCTCCTGAACCTTTGACAGACTGCTACACACATACCCTGACCATTTGTTACCCAGGGACTAACCCCACCCCCCTCTGAAATCTGCACACCATTCTCCATCATGGCCTGACCATATGATACATCCTGGCTTTCATAAACCTATCGAAATCTATACTATTCATCCAGAATGCCTACCATCATACTGCCTACCACCAGGGCTTGAGATACTTGTCCTGACTCCCAAATTTACAGCCCAACTCTGGGATAACTACATTCCTCCCCCACTGACAGGACAATTCCTGTCATTTGTTTTGTGCCTTTAAACTTTCCAAAGCACAGTCACAGGCAGTACCTCAAGAGATCCTAATAGCATCCAGGGCCTATTATCCTAACTTGCACAGATTACAGTGAGACAGGAGGGCCTGAGGCTGGAACCCTGGTTCTAACCCCACTCACACAAGCCCAGCCCTGGGGCACTGCAGCCATTCCTACTGCCTGCCCCCTCCAAGGAATGGTCACTCCAGGCCCCAAATGACTATCTACTTGGGGAGGGGAGATGGTTGTGTGCTCTGGCTTCAGCATCCAGTTCAGAACTCAGAACCCCCACCCAGTCTGTCTCCTCAAATTTCAGGGAGAAGGGCCCCTAAATACCAAGATGTATCCAGACCCTGGCATATCACTCAAAACGGGCCCTCTCCTAGTTCCCCTTCTCCAGCAAGTCCTCTCTCAGTTCGGACTTAATTCTCCCACTTGCACAGGGGCAGATGAGGTCCAACTAAAGAGAGCAACTCAGAGTTAGAAGGCTCTAAAATTGGTGGGAGGTGGGGTGGGGAGAAAGCAGGGAGCAGCAAAGACTGACAAAGGTGATGAGGGAGGGAAGAGCAAGAGCACCCCTGCTGGAGGTGGGAATTCTGAAGGGGAGCAGCCCGCCCCAGCCCACAGGATAAGGTACCAGCACTGCCCCCTGCCCGGGCCCCTGGGGCTCCCTGACCCAGGCCTCCAGTGTGCCTGCCCCCCTTCCTTTGTCTGTGCCCGGCCTCCCGTTGGCCTGGCGCTCTGCCATCCTCCTCTCCTGGCTCCCAGCCGCCACCACTGCTGCCTCCTCCCCTCCCCCTACTCCTCCCTACCTTAACCCTTCTGAGTCACATGCTGCCCCAGACAGGCCCTGGCCCCCTCAGCAACCTGCCCTGCCCAGGATGATGTCCCTTAGCAGAGATCCTCCCTGCTCCCGACCAAAGCCCCAGAAGCTACTACACACCCCAGGAGCACTATGAGAGCTAGATGTGTGTATGTGTGTATCTTGTAGTGTTTCCTTCTGCATGTGCATGTGTGTGGGTCTGCGTGTGCTCTGGCTTCCCTCAGTCACATGTGTGGGGCATGTGCTGTCTCTGCCGGGCTGGGGGAGGAGGAGCCGGGAGACAGCAGAGCACAAAGGAGAGACTCAGGCAGGCAGGCAGGCAGGCGGCAGGCACGCAGCCTGCCAGGGCGCCTGGGCCCCCACCCCAGGGCTGCTCAGGTTGCGGGGGATGGTCTTTAGGCCTGGACTGGACATGCTGCCACGGGGTCCCTGTGTTCAGCCATGTGCTCACACACACCCATGCAAGCGTGGTGCCCTCCCTTACCCCGAATCCTACCATTTCTCACCCCCAGGCCACTCTCATGCCCCTCCCCAAGTGGTTCTCTTGAAGACTAACCTCCATCCATCCTCTGTGGCACCAATCCATAGACTTCCTCACATTCAGGAAAAAGATTCCCCACTCTCGGCCATCTTAGGCCCCCTCTTCCCCAACCAGATCACCAGACACACAAAAGGAACATACCTTTTAGGGCACTGCCTTAAGTTGTCCCCCCTCACACATACAGGTCCTCTTCTGTACCCATGCTGCTCCCTGAGAGACTGAGAGGGAAACTTTCTCCCTTCTCCTACAGGACCAGGCACCCTACCTCAACTTCAAGATCAACCTCCCATCTACCTCCAGCTTGACAACCCTTCCATACTCACCTCCTGCTCGCTATTTGTAGGCACTAATAATCATATTTAAGACTCAGCCCTTTAGCTATGCTTATGTAGGGCGATGGAGGATCAAGGCCATGGGATGGACTCAGAGAATGGATGGATCTGAACAGGGTACTCAGCGTGGGGCAATTGTAAAGAAAATACACAAACACACACACCAAGCTGGTAGGAGGAGGAATGATGGGGCCAGGCAGGATTCCAGCTTGCCAGGCTCTTCCCTCTCCTCCTCTCCCCGACCCTCTGCAGCAGGAGCCAGGGGTTCCCACACCTGGATATCCCAGGATTCTTAGGCTCTACTAGCCCTCCCTCTGGGCCCCATGCCCCTTAAACGTCAGCCTCAGCAGGCACTTTAAGTGTGTGCCCAGCCCAGCAGAGCTTTGGCCTGGGTCACATGATTTTCAAGGAAGCTTCCGCACTGGCAGCTTCCCTTGGGGATGTGTGTTGGGGGGAGGGGGGTTTCCAGTTGTGAGGTATGGGCCTCCCAGAGAACAGGGCATTTGGAGGGGCTAAGGATCCAAACCAGGCTAGATTCAGGAATACCTGACTTTCCAAAGAAAGCTAACTCCTGCCTGGGACAGAAGGGGGTCCTGCAGGTAATTCAAGAACCCAGAGTCCTGGGGATGGATATAAACCGTGTTCTGAGGCCCTCTGAAGACCACCTCTCCAGTCACACGGCCCCTCTCCTTCTCCCTGGCAGCAGGAAAGAACTCAGACCCAGGCCTTCCTCCTCCCTAGGAAAGAACTCAGACCCAGGCTGTCTGTCACTGGCAAGAGCTGATGTGTTCGGGGGGAGGCAGGGATCTGAACCTAAGTCCTCTCATTGGGGTCAAGCATCGCTCCCCTCAATTCAACTCTCACAAGTCACTCTTATTTCCTAGCTTGCCTGGGTCTGCCACATTCCCCCTCCCACTAGGGCGAAGATGCCAGACCCAAGGGCCCAATTATCTGCCCCCCACACCCCAGGAGGACCTCGTGTCCCTCAGGAGGGCCAACCTTCCCTGGCAACAGGCAGGATAATTTGGAGGGGGGCAAGACGGCCCCCAATCAATCCCTCCCCCCAAACAGGGTCCTCAGAAACAGCCTGGAGGGAGGTGTCACAGAATAGGTAAGAGGGAATAGGCAGCAGGGAAGGGGGGGCAACCCAAACCAGCCAATCACAACTGTATGATGACCTGAGGGGGGGGTCAAAAGTCCAGACTCACTTCTGATTGGCTAACACCCTGGAATTCTGGGAATTTCAGCCCCCCCAAAACCCCTCCCTAAGTAGCCTCCTCCACCAAAAAACACACACAAGCTAACCCCAGCGCCCCTTACCCGTGCCTCTGGGCTGCTGCGCATTTACACAGTTGGGGAAAACCTTCCCCCGACTGAGGCCCCACACACCCCTCAAGCCTCCGACCACAGGCATGCCATCGACGCCCCACACACAAGTTCTCACCAAACAAGGGGTGAAGGATCGGCAGGGAGGGTTCGGGGAGGGGCCGGGCGGCCGCGCGCCCCACTCACCAGGACAGGCACAGCCCACTGACATCTTCACATCGCCCGCCGCTGGGGGCCCAGCCAAGTCACGGTGCCCGCCCCGCGCGGGGACAGGCTGGGCATGAGCCGCCGCCGCCGCCCGCGGCCCCCGCTGTCCTCGCCGCCGGCCCGGCCCGGCCTCGGCCCGGTGCGGGCGGCCCCTGGCTGCAGTGAGGGGCCTGTCAGGCGTGGAGCAGACAGGAAGGAAGCCAGGCAGGAAGGCGAGCTGTCTCTGCGTGTGTGCGCGCGGGTGTGCGTCCCCGGAGTGTGTGTCTGTGTGTGCGCGTGTGCGTGTGCGTGTCTGTGCGCTCCCGCCGCCCTCCCCGCCGCCAACGCCGCCGCCGCTGCCGCTCGCCCCCTCTAGCTCTCGCGCTCCCTCTCGCTCTCGCTCTCGCTCTCCCTCGGTAGGCGCCCGCTCACCAGCCCTAGTCGGGCTGGGCCGGGCTTTATTAATATGCTAATTGCCTGCTAGTGGGCGGGGAGAGCAGTGTCAAAGTGACCCGGGCGAGGGCGCAGCGGGCGGCGACTTGCGTGCGCAGCGCGGCGGCGGACGGCGAGGGGCCGGCAGCGCTCCGAGTTCGGCGTGCTTGTGACGCAGCTTTTAAAAAAGGAGACCGAGGCAGAGACCCGGGAGAGGGCGGGCGAGGGGAAGGGAGAGGAAGCGAAGCCTCACGCTGGGTGTCCGTCCTCCGGGCGCCGCTGGGTTGGGAGCTTAGAGGAGCCGAAGCGGGAGCCGGGACTGGGGGAGGCGGGGCCAGGGTGGGCTTTGAGATGTAGCTCTGTCTCCACCCCCCGGCCGCGCTCTGGGAGGGAAACGCGACTGCCGACCCCCCGCCCATGCACTCTGCTGAAACCCCAATCTTAATCTGGAGGCCCCTGGTTATGCGCTCCCACCCCAACGTGGGTGGGGAAAGCAGCACTATCTTAATTCTAGTAGCAACCCCTGAATTCACCTCCCCCCTAAATTAATTACCCCTCCCATGCCTGCTAAACCAGTTGGAACTGGCCCTAAAAGGGTTAATTAGGTGAGGTCCCGGCCCTCCCTCGCCTAATTGCCTGGGATCTGTGTTTTGCTGGGAGAAGGGCGGGTAGCGAAATGACCGCCAGGTTGGTCTGGGGAGGGAGAATCCGTAGGCTGTCCTTTACCCTTGCAGACTCTGACTCATCAGTCGAGATGCTCACCTCCCTTCCCCCTTTCTCCATCCAGTTTCAGCCTCCCGCCCCCCCCCCCCCCCCCCCCCCCCCCCCCCCCCCCGCCAATCGCCTGGAAGCTGCTTTCCTTTGAGGGCCTCCGAGACTGGGAAGAACAGGAAGCAAACCCCTCCAGTGCCCCCTACCCGCAGGGGCTGTGGCCTCAGTTGGAGGGGGTGGGGTGGAAGGGAGGATGATGTGGATGGCCAACGTAAGGAACACTCCTTCCCCAGGGAGGAGCTTCCCAACCTTCAGAAGCTCCTCAAGGATTCCCTAACCCAGCCGGGGTGGGGGGCAACATCGCCATCTCCATCCCTTCCCAAAAGCCCAGCCTTAGCTGCCTCATAAACAGGAAATACCTATTAGCTGGGAGGAGGGAGGGGAGGGGAGACGTCTGGAAGAGAGAGTTGGACCCCTCCCTTCTGGGGGTCCCCAGCTGCTAGCTTCTCTTCTTTAAGCTTCAGGGTGGGCTACAGGAGTAGATGCTGGGGACCTGGCCTGGTGTCCCCTTCCTAGGGCGTCTGCCCCAGACTGGGTGAAGGGTCCTCCTTCCCTTTGTTACTTAGGTGGGGATTGATTGTGAAGGTTCCCTCACCCCTGCCCAGAGTCTGCACAGCTGGCTTGACTGGCTGGGGGAGGGTTACAGATGTGGAAGCTTAAGTGTTTATGAGACCCCTTAAGCTTTTGCTGAGGGAGCAAGAAACGAAGGGCAGATGTAGAGTCTGAGAGTTGAAAAGAGGGCCTGCCCAGGGATGGGCATCCCCTCCCTTATGCTCAGGAGAGGGTGGGGGAAGGGAACTGTAAGCCTAACCTCTCACTAACTCCAGCATTCCGTCCACATTGTGGATTCCCCCACCCCTAGCTTTCCCTACCTCCACCCTCTGGGGGGCGGGGGGGGGCGAGATAGAAGCCTGCAGAGGGATGTGACTGAAGCCATCCACACTTACACAGTTATTTCCTTGGCAGCATCCCCTGCCTGTGTCCACCTCCTCCCCACATTCCGCAGGGCAGAGGTCAGCACTACAGGGAGTAAAGGGAACCTAAAGCAATGGAAATTTAGCCTGGAATTTTGGATACCTCAGTTTGAATTCCAGCTTTGCCCCTCACTAGCAAATTACCTGGGACAACTGACTTCCCCATTCTGAACTCTAGCTTTACCCTCTGTTATTGGTACCTGCAGCTTGATGAGAGTCAAATGAGACAATGTATGCCCAGTCGCCTAGCCCAATGCCAGCCATGTAGTCAGTACTCAATATACATTAGCTCCTTTCTGCTTTCTTTGAGGTTATCGGTTATTTCAAAAGTTTCAGGGGCTTCCCTGGTGGTGCAGTGGTTGAGAGTCTGCCTGCTGATGCAGGGGACACGGGTTCGTGCCCCGGTCCGGGAAGATCCCACATGCCGCGGAGCGGCTGGGCCCGTGAGCCATGGCCGCTGAGCCTGCGCATCCGGAGCCTGTGCTCCGCAATGGGAGAGGCCATGAACAGTGAGAGGCCCGCATACAGCAAAAAAAAAAAAAAAAAAAAAAATTTCAGGAGTGGGCTGAATTGGCTGGACCCCTTTCACTCTCTACTGTGTATGAATTTGCCTTCCCCCAATCCTGTAACCACTCACCCCTAAGGCCACTCATTCCAAATAACTAGCTTGGCCAGATTCCACGGTGATCACCAATCACTTGAGTGGACAAAGGGGCTTATAACCCACCCTATAGGGGACTTTGCCGCCTCTCAATCTAAGGCTCCCTTCTCCTAGATTACACATGTGGAAGGTGGAAGGCTGGGAAGAAGAAAAACAGCATTTGTTGAGTATACACTATGTGCCAGGTACTGCGCAAGGTGTTTCACACCTGAGATCTCATTTACTTTTAATAATGACCTTTGGAAGAAGGTGCTGTTACCTCCACTAAACAAACAAGAAAACAGATTCAGGAAGGCTAATAAATTCAAACTTTCTGTAAAACATTCTTCTCTGTCTTCTTTGCCTACTAACTAGTTAATGCCTTTTAAACCTCAGTTACACCTTCACCTCCTCTGGGAAGGTACTCCTCTCACTCCCACCCCAGCTGATCTATTGGTCCTGTTTCCTTTAAGGAAATATTATCTCAGTACTGTTGAATGGGTGATTAAGTTAAGTGGATTCACCTCCCTGAACTTGCCCAAGTTCACACAACTAACAAGTACTTGACCCAGTGCTCTTTTCTGCCTTACTTCTAGTTTGGGCTAGGCCTGGGGAAGAAGAGGAAACCATCATTGGAGCAGCTCTGGAAACTGTGGTGCAGGCAAAAATGGGAGAAGTCACAGATGCCTGGCAGATAGCCCTGGGGTGTGGTAGGAAGGCAATGAGTCTATGTGGAAGGTCTTTAATGACAAGGTCCTGGAGGGTGGCAGGCTTAGCTGATGTGGATGGATGGATTTGAGCACCCAGTATTTTCTTTTTTTATGGCTGCGTTGGGTCTTCGTTGCTGTGCTCAGAGTTTCTCCAGTTGCGGCGAGCAGGGGCTACTCTTCATTGAGGTGAGCAGGCTTCTCATTGCAGTGGCTTCTAGCTGCGGAGCACGGGCTCCAGCAGTGTGGGTTTCAGTAGTTGCAGCATGCAGGCTTAGTAGCTGTGGCTCGCAGGCTCTAGAGCGCAGGCTCAGTAGCTGTGGCGCACGGGCTTAGTTGCTCCGCAGCATGTGGGATCTTCCTGGACCAGGGCTCGAACCCGTGTCCCCTGGCATTGGCAGGCGGATTCTTAACCACTGCACCACCAGGGAAGTCCAATATTTTCTTTTTTTGAGGTGAAATCACATGACATAAATTAACCATTTTTAAGTGAATAATTCAGGGACTTCCCTGGGGGACCAGTGGTTAAGACACTGCACTTCCACTGCAGGGGGCGTGGGTTCAATCCCTGGCCAGGGAACTAAGGTCCTGCATGCCATGTGACGTGGCAAAAAAAAAGGGAATAATTCAGGGACATTCCAATATTTTTAAATACAGTCATTAGTGCAAGATGGACTCTAGACATGGGGATGAAGCAAAATGGGAAGTGAGAAGAGGTGAGGTGGTAAGGAAAGGAGAAGGGAAGAGGAGCCCCACAGAGAGGCAGACAGCAGAAGCAATGGGCTAGACTGCTTTAGGACAGGTGGGTTCCCTGCTTCTTCCAGCTCCTAGAACCTGTCCCATCCAACTTCTTCTCCTGACCTTGACCTTGGCCTTCTCTATTTTCTCCCACATTTCTCTTACCCCTGAAACTCCCTCAAATACTCATTGGTATTGCTCTTTCTTTCAAGGACGAATCTTCTTTTTCCATCAAGATGGCAAATATGTCTTATTGGTGGCTCTGTCCCCAGCACCTAAGAAGGTGCCTAGAACCTGATATGTGTCCTATAACACTTACTAAATGATTATAAGAATTCTGATAGGATTTATCTTTTCCTGCTCCAACAAGTGACTCCTTCCCTTCTTGTCCATTTACCATCACCATCACCATCACCATTTACCATTACCATCCCTCTCTCTGTCAAATCAGTTTGGTAGATTTGGCCAAATAAATATGTAGAAGGCCCCATCCTTGTGTGGAGGAAACATTTACGTCTGGAGGAAAGGGATCTAGGAATCTGCATTTTAAAGAAGTGCCTCAGTTGGTTCTTACACATGCCAATATTTGGGAATAGTTCCTTCTAAAAGGGTCCATGCCCCTTCAGAGCATGCCGCCAAATGGGATGAAACCAATTCATTCATTCCACAAGCACCTGCTTAGCACAGTGGAGGATACACTACTAAGAACAGAGGAACCAAAGAAAACAGTCTGCTCTATTCACTGTGTGCCCCTGTTTAACCCTCCCTTAGCCTCAATTTCTTCCTCAGTAGAATGTGGACAATAATCCCTACTTTTCTAATTCTTCCAGGGATATTGCAAGGAGACAGCAAGCTGAAGACTGTAAACCATTCCTCAAATGTGGGTTGTTTGGGGCTAAAAATAAACCACTAAAAGGAATATTGCCTGAAAGTTTGCATCTCCCTGAAAGAATAACTGTAAACCAGGTATATTAATTATCTATTACTATGCAACAAGATACCCTCAAATTCAGCACCTTAGACAACAAATTTTTGTTATCTCCCTTGGTTTCTTTTTATTTTTTTGTTATCTTTTTTC